ATTTCTCGCTCCTTTTTCAACTCATTCCTTGTCGCGAAACTTCGAATATCGCGAAAGCTCCAAAATGAAAGTGAAATAATTAAATAAACCAATGTACAAATCAATCACACAAATTGTAACAATGTCATGAATCATTTAACCAATTTTTACATTCCTCAAATTCATTGTCTCATGCGTTTTTCTTTGTTATCATTATTTAAGTCCACATCCTTCCTTTTTTATGGCAACAAAGCACACTCATAAGCTAAATTTCTTTGTCTAAGAACCAATCTAATTGCAATGCTTAATGTTGCAAACAGAGCCTTTTGTTGCAAGCGGATTTTGACAGTTTTTTTTATCCAGGAGAAAATCTGATGTAATGTTTGTTATAACCACTCCCATCAAATACGCTCTTTGTATTAATTAAAATTGTATATATACTCAAAGCTATAACTAGATGATTATCATTTGCTTTTTCGGACACTTAACCAAGGACCGCACCGTACATTGTATCCTATACTGTTTCCGATATATATTTTTACTACTATCTTCTGCGGATTAATATCATCCTCCTGAACCGAACGAAGAATACCTTCTCAGAATATTCGTCTATGCCTAAAAACAAACCCTTCCAAATCAAACCTGACAAATCAAAAACTCTCATTTCAATGTTTCCTACATCTCTTGCCTTGTAGAAAATTATCGGGCTGGATCTCTACCAGAGTAAAGCCTTACTTAAGGTCATAAACAAAAAAGTATGATGGTAGATAAATATGTTGGTAGTAAATAGTAAGTCTTTGCAAATAGCAAATGGTGTAAATATCTAATATCCAAATCCAATATATAATGTTTTAAATATAACATGTAGTATGTTGCAAATATCTAATATCCATATCTAATATATGTCGTAACTAATATATATCTGATATGTTTCAAAACATCTAATATGTTGTAAATATCTAATATGTCGTATCTAATATATATATATATATCAAATATGTCTCAAATATCAGTGCTGAGAACTGATCATGGATAAAGAAAATGTTGACCGAATATTCTAATACCCTCACTGTAGCAAATATTTTTGCTAATAGCAAGTATCTCATAAATATAGCAAATATCCACATAATATTCAATAAATATGAAGCCGAAATATCCTTGTCAACCAAAAAATTGTTTCGTAACTTTCGCATCAGAATTTCAAGCATTTTTTGGAAAGTTCGCTTAAAATGAATTCAGACCCAATATGTTACTGCAACATTTCCATCTCATTTTATTTTATTTTAAAACTTATTTAGAATTTAATTATGACAATGAAAATGACAGCTTATAGTAATGTTATATATTTTATAGCCATTTATCAGTTCTAAAGGATTTTTTTGCGTATACATGTGATCTCACATGTTATAATGACTTAACAACAACGACAGTGTTTAGTGACAATGGTGATAACATTGCGACATGACAAGTATATCTGCAATGTAATAATTACTTGTCAGTGAAAAAGTATAATAAAATCATAAAAAAAGAAAAAAAAGTATAGCAAAATCATTTGTTCTCTTTCACAACGATAAAGAAAGTGAAAATAATTCGTCATCTGTCTTCATAAAAGTTTCAGCGAAATTCGAACCAAATTGAATCAAAATCAGATTGTGACAAAATCATTCATTGAGCACTCGTAAAATTCATCTCTGATCGTTTATTAAATTTTGAATATGATACTAATTATCAGAACTACAACGAGAATAATGCAAAAAATTATAATATAGCTGTGGGACACGTCACCAAAATGTACTTAATGAGGAATATTTCATTTAATTTTGTTAAAAGTATTTGCATTCAGCATCCTCATACTGTCTCCAATGTTCATCCAACCCCTTAATAACGTGGCTATTGTGGACTGTATTAGTTTCCTTCTGTGTGTCCTTCAAATTCGCAATTTTAAATGATCCATACGTTGATGGATGATGATTATTACTTTGCTCTCAACTTCTCTTATTCCATTCCTGTTCTGACTTCCCACTTCCATATGTCGGTATTTCTATTTTCGTGACACTTCAGTAAAGCATTAATTTAGTCTTATTTGCTTAACTTTCTCAGTTTACAGATATTACGATTGTAACCTAACTTCCTGATTTTTCCCATAAATTGTTTTGGGTATAACTAAAAAGTTAAAAGTTAGAAATTTTATGTATCTTTTGTTCTTCTATTTACGAAATATACTGCTGAAATGATTTCCCTCAAAATATTATTTTTTTTATACGTATTTCATTGGTTAGTTTAAAACTGATTGGTCAGCTAGTCCTCTGTCCCTTAATTGCTGAAGCTTTTGAAATTACTTTTTCAACATTAGCCGATGGTTAAATGTTTTAATGTAGAAGGACTAAACTAAGAATAATGTTTGCATGATGCCTTGGGTCAATTACTTCAATATAATACATGCATTAATAAGTGTGTACTTGGACTTGAAGTACCTTACAGTGACATGACACTACGACACTCTGCAACTATCGCCAATCAACAACAATAAAAGAAAAAGTAGTCTCCTACAATTGCATTGTAGACTGAATTGCGGGCACGGTCCTCATCTTCTACTCTTTTATTCTTTCTAAATCCTTCTCTTTCTCCACATAATTGAACGTTTATCATTTTCAGCTGCGACAAATCACTATTCCAAGGCTCTTAGAAATATGCCTACACTCTATTCGCTTTTCCAATTGTATCCTTCCAGTCATACTCCCTCCTGTTGCATACAGCCTCTTTTATCATCTTTATGCAAAACTGCTCCGTTTAAGGTGTCCCCTACCTTGTCACTTTCACTAAAAGTACTAATCTCCCCATATTCAGCCATTATGACCGTCTTATTCTTTGAATAGTATTAGTAGTCTTCTCGAAAGTAAAATTTGTCTCATTGCAAGTGTGAGAAGCTGAACTTACTAAATTTTACTTCTAATCCATCCCTCAGTGAATTATTGCCTATTTTTCGCATGTACTTATTTGACCCATCAATATCACATTGACTGATAGCAAGTTATCATTTCTCAATTTCTGATTTATTTTTACTTCAATATGTATTTCTTAATTTACTCACTTTTCTATTGGGAAAAAAAATTGGTTGTAATAATTACCGTTGTTACCAGTTTTCGAGATTATTTTCCTGGGAATATGATTAAGTGATTAATTGATTTTATAATTAATTTATATTATCTTATTACTCTGTTTTGCAAAATAATTAAGCGTTAAAAACTGTAAGGAAGTAAAGATAACATCACTTATGCTTTAATTAGACAATGATGGGATAGTAGAAGCGATGGTATGAATTGATGGCGATATGTGTATTGTTGTGAGGAGGAATGAATAAGGGGAGTGAATTTTAGGGATGCTATCATATTTCGCTAAATTTTTTGCTCGTTTTTTTCCTCTTCAATTTCCAGGACATGTTCCTTTCTCTTCATCACTATTAGTACTACATAATTTGCTTATCAATGTAAATCTCATGGTGTTAATGCAGATTGGCTTTTTTCCACTATAATTTGATTAATATCATAGATCAATTCAAGGGTTTCAGTGAGACGAATTCTAGATACTTTTATCATTAAATGCAAATTGAAATATCAAATGCCTTTTCAACTTCAAAAAACACCACTTCGAATAGTAATTATTACTCATAGTATTTGGCAATACATTTATTGGTTCTTATTTTTTTCGTTTCCTTTGTTTTTTTCGTCAATTGCATGTAAAATCATTGTTTTAATACATTTTCAAAAATGCAAAAAAGTGGAATTGAAATTGAACTTGAAACTTACATTTTATAACATATGGCTCAGTTTACATAATATAGGGCGCAAGAGGTTCATCGAATAATTCCAATGAAGCAAAATTCCAAATGATTAGCAAGTTTTTTATTTACAAAAGCGCCTCCAGGAAGAGCTGATGATACGACGCATCAGAAAGTTTCTTTTACCTATTGGCCAATTCGATAGTAGGTAAATGACAGAAAATTTGCTGAAAGATTATCCATTTTCAAAACTTCTGTTTTCCTCATTTATTCACATTTACACTCCGATTTGATTTAATGAATCTTTCCGTCAAAGGCATACTGAGTAGATTTCCGGCTATTTACTAGCAGCATCTACATGGATAAGTGGTCACTCTTTGAAATTTTCATTTAAAATGTGGGTAACGTTTTGATCAGAAAAATTTAAACATTTTGGATCTCACCTAAAATAGTAATGTTCGGATTATCATCCTTCTGTTTAGTTACAAAGTAAAGAATGTGGACAGGAAATGGCGTTAAAGAAAAGTAAGTGTCGACAACACGTTGACAAGCACGGAAAACTTGTTTGTTTTAATACTTAAAATGGTTTCCTTCCTGTATAAATTTCGATTTTATCTCGTTAATTTTTATTTGTTTTGCATCCCTAAAATATTAACTTTCTTTAAAGAAAGAAAAGAGAAAGGCTTAGGTTAAAAAACATTTTTCAATCATTAATCCATTAATGATCATAAAACAATCATAAAACGTCAAACATTATCGCAAGAATTAATCGTTACAATTTCTACCATTGAAATTAAACATTTCCATATAAAATTGTATTTGATCCCTTCAATTAGAGTTGGTGAGAATGATTTTGTCTTCCAGAGAATAATTCATTACGCTTATGATGGCTCAGTAGAAAGTTGAACAGAGAAATGATTGAGGATATGTATATATCTTTGGGCGGCCTTGTACCAAAAATCCAAATAGATGTAGATATTTATTCAGCGGCCTTGCACCAAATATTTTTATACCATTATCAATTATGGTACGGCCGAAAGTGATAGGTGGTTTATGAAGTGTGGAAGAAAGATTATTGACCTGCCAAAACTCTTTTCGCAATTATTCAGCTAGGTTCTCGTGACCTTTTTCCTATCTTCCTTATATTATTAATAGAAAAGCTATATTATCAACGCTGCGACATTATTCGGTGTCTCCAGCAGAAAAACTATCTAATTCAATTCCTTTGTTTTCAAATTATGTGCGACAAACTCATTGGTCATAAGTTCGTAAAACTTTTTACTTAACAAACCTTTGCTTTCCTTTTCTTTTTTCACCAATCCGCTTGGCTTGGCATTTTCCTATTGCAAATAAACTTCTTCAAATAGTTACTTGAAATGACAATTTTTATTGTGCCATCCACAGAGCCAAAATGTTTCGTCTGTGTGGTTCCCAGAAAAAAAAATAATATTTAAATAAAAATACAGCATCCTTATTTAAATATGAATCTTTATTGTAAATATGAATCCTTATTGTCCACCTTATGTGACCAGCCTAGGTTCCCTTCTACTTGTTTAACCTTGGCATTAGGGTTTGCAGGTGTTGAAGAAATGCAGTTAAAGAGATATAGTTAACAGTTGTGACAATTAAAAAGAAAGAAAAGTTCTTCCCTGCTTTACTGACATTTTCTCATGTTTTTTTAGCATATCTATGCTTCACATTTAAGTGTCAATCGAAAGAGATGTAACTTACTGAAAGACTTTGTCTCCACAAAGATTATTATTTCACAATTGAAAATGGTACCTCTGAGTTTATTGAAGATTAATCACGTCATCTTTCATTTTCCGCTCACTTTTTTCTTCAAATCACTCTTTGTTTAAATCGTTCGCCGACACAGCACAATAATATTTAATTAAAAATATAGTAACGTTTAATCGAATTTTATAAACTGAAAGAAATGTGAATTTTTAACACTTTTTAAATCATATTTTATAGCATATAGTGGTTTCAACATGATATTATTCGTATACAAAATATGAAGTCTTTCTCTCACCTTTTAAGCTAGATCAGTCATCTGATTTGATAGTCTCCATTCAACACAGTTTAAAATCAGACCCATCGCTTATGAGATAATTACAATTTATAGCAAAATAAATAGATATATGGCTTATAATTTTAGGATCAAAAATTAGTTACAACACTAGAAGTTTGTACAACTGGTCTACAGCAAAATTAGCCTACAAATAGGCGGTTATCAAAGCATATAGTAAATGATAGATATAAATATATTAGAGAAGAAGATGAGGAAATTGGATTTGACCGGATATCATGGATGTCTAGTCTTCTGGATTAAGAAATTTGCTAGATATCCTCACTATCATGCTAAATCCAGCTTTGCTAATTTTATCTTAGCATGAAATATTACACCTAATCTAAGTTAATTTATTCTCTTAGCAGAAGTTATTTGGGATTTTAACCTGTAATCGTGATCAGACAACAAAGTAATAGTAGAATACAAAAGGTAAAAAATTCCATACTTCTATTGAAAGATTTTGTCAAAATTAAACATTAAAAATCGATACTTTGAAATTTTTAAACGATAAAAGTGTGATTGTAAAAGTAATTGATGTAGTGGACATTTTTAATAATTGGTTTGAATAAAAAAGAAATTTGCATGAAATACACTTGTGAGGATAGTATCATATTAGAAATTCTTCGATTGCTAAAACATATGGAAACTTTGCTTATTCCTTATTGTTAATTTAACTTCATTTTTACATTTTTTCAATCTACCGCAATATACTTCTAAATTAGTGCAAGTTAACTTTTATGCTATTGTGTTTGTCTTAATTATTTTAATTTGGTAGAGTGCAAGTTCATCAAAAGCGGAATTTTTGATTGTAATTCATAAATCAATGAGCGCCTTACATGAAACGGAATTGTTGGACTGAGTGTGCTTGGACATTTGTAAATATAATATGTTTCAGATGTACATATTCCATAATAAATGTCAATGGATTAGAAACAAATTTTTATATGATATGCAGATTCATATATATGTTTCGTATGTATATGTATTCATATGTGTATATTCAAATTGATATTATTTCTTTCATTTTACCAGTAACTATGAAAAAGCGTCATGCGTTAGCAAAAGAAGTAATTATAATTAGAATTCAAAAGTTCCATTTTCAGAAAGCAGGCGAAATATCCGAAATGCTTTTGAGGTACCACTTCTCCAATTTATTATATTTATTGTGGTTCGGGTTCGTCTTACGCAAATCATCTGAAGTAAGTCCATTTATACATCATTTCCTGTTAATTTATTAACTGTTGCTGTGATACTGCCTTTTCTGGAATTTGAATATCAATATGAATTCTCATATTTGATCCAGCCGGAGCATTCAGCCAGTAAATGTAAGAGCGGAAAACTTCTGTGACGAAAAGAAAAGAGAAATACTTGTTTGGAAGCAATAACTGAAATTTGTAGAACTTCTAGCTGACTGGCTACAATCATGAAAGCTACAATCATGAAACTGAAGCTTTTGGGAAATTTACATAATTAGTTTTGATTTTAAATACATATTTATCAAAATCGGCGTGATTGCATCAGCAGTGAATGAATGAAAAGATCAAGAAAGTTCTTCTCAAGCATATTCAACTAACCATCATTTCCATTATTACTATTCTGATTAACTCAGTTTTTGAAAAACGAAGGCTAAGAATGGTTGAAATGAGAACCTTGACATCTTCCTAGGATGATTGGAGGAAATATGTGTGAGCAGTGTGAGCTTCCTTTCTTTCTTTTCCTCATCATCTTTTTGAAAATCAAATTGATTCTGGTCGTTTCAAACATTCAAAAATGATGATAAATTGTTGATTGGCCTAGGTAGAGCAATTTGTAGCTCGGAACAATTATTTCTTTTCCAAATCTGCTGATTTCTAAAATTTTAGCTCTGAAAATTTAATAAATATTTACATGAATTAGAAAAGAACAAAAAAAAAAATTTCTAAAAAATGAAACATGTTAAGCTTTTGATTTAATTATGCCTATTTATAAATCCGATCTTTGCAATAACTTAGTTTATGTGTCTTCATATTCATTTCATGAATATTTTACTTATCAATTAAATAATCGAAGTGATTTTGAATTTATTGCAGACGGGTTTAACGATCGAAACAGACAATGGTTTGGTTGGATCGCCGGAAATAAAGTGTAATCCGGAAACCATTGAATTAGCATTCAAAACCAAACGAGAATTCCGAGGTGAATTTTATATTTCATATCCTATTAGTCTCTTCGATATTATTTAATTATTCGATTTACTTTAATGTCTATTTTCACCTCGTCATTTCTATAAATTCACTATTCAGCCTACTCTTTTATGTCTCATTCTTCCACCTTATCCAGGAATGATAATTCCTGGATAAATCTTTATTCTACCTAAATATTGAGATATTCAATAAAGTTTTTATTTTGTCACCTTGATGTATACCTGACGTATGGTGTCAACTGTTAAATTTGTTGATTGAAACATCAGCTTGAACAAAAATCACTATCAGAATTTTGTAAATATTTATTTGACCAATAGATCAGAAATTGTTTAATTGATATTTAGGTAAAGTATTTGTGAAAGGTCACTATAACAACCCAAACTGTCGAGTTGATTATGGGAAGCCAATCTTAGACAGCAAAAATCCAGTAGGCAGTATTACATTAAGTCATGGGCAGTGCGATATGAATCGACAACGAATGGTATGGTAACATTTTTAAATTAAAAATATATAATATAAATTCTAACTATAATATAATATAAATGAGCATAATATAAATTCATATTCTCCAACTTTTTCAATGGAAATAGCGTTTTCTTCCTTCTTTAAAGAAGATTTATTTGTATTCATTTAGTTAATTTTAATTAGTTTTAATTTAATATTTTTTGCACTTAATTATAGATCCAACCTGAAGGCATGCAGCTTTCAACAATCCTTGTTATCAGTTTTCATCCGGTAGGTTCATGATCCTTTGAAATTATTTTTGCTATATGACGCATGGAATATAGCATTCTTCCAAGCCGTAAATGTATCAGCATCTCAACTTGATATATTCTATACCAATTCATATCTATGATTTAATGAACGATTATTTTACCGGAAAGGGAAAAGACAGAAAAGGAAAGAAAGAGAAAACAAAAGAAATAGGAAAAAGAGTGGGAGACAATACAGGAAAAATATTATTGTTCTATTCTTTGGATTAAGAATAAATGCTCAGCTTTTGAATCATAGATTAGGCTGATAAGCTAACTTTTCTGTCTCTCCGTTCGACCAGCCAATGTGAACATGTTGTAAATTTTAGTTATTTATAACGAAACTTGACCGAGCTTTTCACATCAGATGCATGTATCGGGAGATCGTACGCGCAGTTTCTTCCGGAATCGAAGTGAGGTTCGTTTTTTGTCATTTAGTATGAGATTGCAACTGGATCTGCTTCTGGTGCATCAAACAGACGAGATCCGGGTGTAATCAAGCTCTCAGTTGAAATATTATGGAGTTTGACGGAAACAGCAGAGTTCAGCGAAACTTAAATGACCATTCTGCAATGTGTTGCAGGGAATATTTGTACATATTTACTTATATTTGTTTCATCAAAATTTCAAATTAAAAAATTTTCCGATTGAAATTGAGGAAATTCTCAGTGCTAAAATGATTCAATTTTTGCAAAATTTTATAATAATTCTGTGCAGTGCGATAGCAACACAAGGGTTGGAATACCAGTATCCATTTCCAAACTGCATCTATACGATTCGCAGGGATGAAATTGACGGACCGATATTGAAGTACGCAAGAGTTGGTGACCAAATCGTTCATCGTTGGGAGTGTTTATCTGGTATGATTTCTTATGCACAGATACGGAAAACAGATTAATTTTTAATTCTTGCATACCACATATTTCAGATGTTTATGGTTTGTTGGTCCATAACTGTTATGTGGAAGATGGACAAGGGGAGAAGCAAATTATCATAGATGAGAACGGGTAAGTCTTGTTAGTCATCTGATCAAAGTCAGAATGTAGAATATTTCCTGGCATTTTCTGCAGTAGAATTTCTAATCTGAAATACATCGGATCTGAAGTTTCGTGGTAGTACTTCAGGTGTCACACGGACAGAACAGTTTTGGGTGACCCCACGTATGTGGAATCTCTCAACATGGCATATCGTGAATCACTGGTATTCAAATTCGCTGATCGGATTATTGTTCAATTCAAATGTCAAATTCGTCTGTGCGTTAGAGACGGTGGTGGCTGTATTGGTATTACTGTAAGTTACTTATTTGTTTACATACCGGAAATATTGAGTAAGGAGACCTACTTGACGGTACTTAATACCTGAAGATAGGTTTCTTTACTGAATGTTTCCGATATATCTCTTGTATGAAACCTGGACGTACATTCACAAGGAAGAGTTCCGCATGCAAGTACGGTTTTAACAGCTCTTTGATCTCAAAGCAACTGAACTATATCATATTGTATTTATGTCACCACTGTCTCCACACTTTCCTCTTCTTATTTGCTGTTCAAAAAAAAGGAAAAAAAAATGGAAATTATAGCCGCCGATGTGTTACGACGAGAAAGAGAAAACAAACGAAGTATTTGTAACAACAGATGATTCTGTGGTTAATCACGCAATAAAATTGAACGATGTCACTGACGTGAGTTGACAGGTCTTGTTTACTCTTTAAAATTAACTATCCACCTGCAGTTATATCGATTAATCTTGATCCATAAATCTAAAATGTTATGAAAGACCACTGTTCTGAAAAAATAATTGAAAACTGAGGACAAAAAGGAATTAGAGCGGAACTAAGCCTTTGAATTCAAAAATTTACAAAACATTTTTTTTCCAATAAAATAGTTGAAATACTGCAGATAGTAAGGTTACAGATTCACTCAAAAAAGCGTCGTCTAATGCGATCTTCGGTATCTGAAAGATCAAGACTCATAGTTGATGCCGATTTAATATCACAGCTTGTTTATGTGCTGGATGCCGATGATGATGATGGTGCAGGTGATGAGCTCCGTAATTTTCACAAAAATTAATCTTTTCAGATTGACGTTTTTTCGGGTGTAATTTTCACAAAAAATAATTTCTGCATCTATTAGACGTAATTTTTGTTTAAAATTGATTAAATCTTTCTATGTAATTATAACTTTACGTTTTATTTCTGCACTTGTATACCTTGCTAATTTATTTATAACAACTCTTCATTATCCCAACCATCTTACATATTTATTATATGATCACAAACTTGAGTTAATTAATTGTAAATTGGAAACTTTTAGATGAGCACAGTGATCGGCTAAGGCAAAACACGTTAGAAGTATGTGTAAGTAATACATTATTTGCAATGCTCATATGTGTTATGGTTGTTGCGTTTCTGGTTCTAACTACAACTGCTATATGGCTCATGCATCGGTGGCTCAGGCTAGTTTTTAGATCACAAATCAGCTGGATTAAGCTTATATGGACCAGTACTTTTACATATGATACTTTCTAACCACTTCACAAATCAGCGACCAAAACTAGGTACTTAAGAAGGAATTAAGTCTTCGTTTAACAGGGTTTTAGGAGCAACGTTATTCTTATAATTTATTGAATGTTTTATTCTTAGGAATGATCTACTCATCCTTCCTATCATTTCAGGTCATCTGGAAGTACTATAAATGAATATGATAAAAAACAACACACCAGCTATGTATGCGTACTAAAATAGCTTCATTCCCTGTTTATCCATATTAGCTGATGATACTGAAAAGAGAATGACGACGATATAAGAATGACGATGACAAAGTAAAGCTCATTTGTGACGATTCCGCCTACATATGTATAAAATTACATGCACTGCAGAAATTTTTTAGAGCCTCCAGAAAGTGCATAAAGTAATAAAAAACTTATTGGTTGTTTTTTTTTTCTCAAATACCTGACCATTACCTGATCGTTTATGGATGTTGCACCACTGTCCTCATATGAGTTCGTCCTTTATTGTGTTTTAATTGAGAGATCGGTTATAATGAGACTCTTTGCAGAGGTGGGCAACTTTTGATGACCATAATTATGCGTCTTTAAGGTCAAACTCTCAGTTAAACAAGCTATGTCAAGGCTAAATCATCATCTTGAATCGATTTACACTCCTTTTTCCATACTTTTTGTTCGGCCAAATGATGAAATTTTTGCTCTCAATAGTTTATGGCTTAAGAATACATTTCATTTGCTGGAAATTGTTGCCAGTCGGAGGGAATGCAAAATGAAACTAATGGAATAATTAATTATTATTGAATTACTTCATTGGATATTAAAGACATTGAATTATTTTAGCAACTGAGCTGGATATTTTTGCCTCATTCCGTAAATAAAGACTAAAGTGAAAACATTTTTACCAAATTATTCTGATTCCCCTATCGAATTTTAGCATTGTTCTTTGGTCTATCATCCTATTTTCTTGAATATTCCTTTGTATTTTGTATCTTAATCACTAAGTTAAACTGATAGAGTATAGTGATTAAGTTAAAGAATAATGAATAATGTATTCTGTGAAATGTGTAATCGAAATGGTATGGTATGGCATGGTATGATATAGTATGGTATGGTATGGTATGGTATGGTATTGTATTGTATCGTTTCGTTCCATGCATTGTTCACTTCACCTTGACAAGCCGGTAGTTTTTGATTAAATATTATTATATTTGCGGGTTTGATTTGGTATTTCTGCCCACTACAAGTTCGAATTAATGGGTCTTTTGAAATATTGTCGAGTGAAACCTCTTTACTCCAAAATCACTGATGAATTGGAAATTGCACTTCGAATATCACTTCGATTAGATGGTTTTCAAACTTTCCATAAATTGTATTTCATGCAGTAAAGATAATCAATTTATAGCATTAATATCGCGATGAATTTTGAATGAAAGATGTGGAAGATATCAAGGAGAGATACCTTACCATTTTGATATATTTGTATGAATAGGAATCAATGATTTGAGAAATACTGTTTGCTACACTTTTCTGTTACGCGGTATTTCCCAATGCACATTTCATGTTTCGAATGTGTTTTTTGATATAATTTGGGGATTCAGAAAAAGTCTCTTCTTTGTTAATTATTAGTCAGTTACTAGTCTTTCCATTACTTATTATCTTAAATTAGTAGCGAAGACTGTTTAAAAGAAAATTTAAAGCATCACAGGTTTTCTTTTTTTTGAGAGAGAGTGATATGATATTTTATAAAGATTTGATTCAAAATTGACTCTGAACAGGCTAAAATGATAGTTAAGTTTTAAAACTAAGACTAAAAGTTTTAAAAAAGAATCGAGGGAGAAATCGAAATTTATGTTTTTTGTTTTAAAGCTTTTAAACTTTAAAAATTTATGTTTCTTGTTTGTTTGTTTATTTGTTTGTTTGTTTGTTTTTTTTTTGTTTTAAAAGGACACAATTCTTAGACTTCATTGTTGCTTCTGAATTTCTTATTAAATTTTATTTATCCGCTTTCGGACTGTGTTATTGTTTGCCCATGATATTTGGGTTAACTCTAATAATAATAATTTCGACAACAAGTGTGGATAATATGTGGTACTCATTTTCCCCTCACTAATCAGAATTAACAGGAAGCAATCCGTTCAGAGATCTTTTTGGCGTTACGTAAAAATGTAATTTTTCTAAAACATATTATAAACAAGATAATTGGTGCTACAGTTACAATGGGATGTTTCTTATAAGATGTATTCTTCCATTGCTGATTCTGGATTCAATACCTGAGTATTGGAATTCTGAAAAAAGTAGCGCAGTATTGATTGCTTCCATTTTATCAGCACAATTAAGTTATTAAACTTGATCTGGGATTATATCTATCTGCATTAACTCTCTTTCAGAGTTAAGATTATCAATGGAAGTTGAAAGCGATTGCTTACAGTTAATGGCATCAATCATACTTATATTACAAAGCAGAGTTTGATAATTTCCCCTACTCATTTGAAAAAATATGAAACCTCATAAACGGATGACAAATTCCGCGGTGAGTAACTGCTGGTATATTGATCATTGAAGTGTTTCTTTCTTACCGCGAAACGTGCTGAACTTCTCCGCCTACTCCGAAATGTTGACCTGTCATGTTCTGCTATAGGCAGGGGGTAATTTCGTCCTCCACTCTTCTGCGGCTTACTCGAATTAAAAGTTGGGTTTTCACTTCCTTTCGATGCCACTGTCGGAGCATATTCTGACGGATTCGACTGACTAATGTAGCACTGAAATAGGACGATAAACTTTTAAAAAGTCTTTTGTCCATGTGATGTGACAAGATTAAAGCCGTTGAGCGTTTCGATTCAAGGTATCAACAATTACATTGAAAGTATGCGCTAAAATGATTACCTGAACTGACAATTCTTCCATACATATCCTGTAAACGGTTTTCGGTAAAGTTCAGTTTTGCTTTTCTAGACATTCTAGCTTATTTTCGTTTTTTTCATGCATATATAAACAAACGTGACAAACTGTATCAGCAGGTAGAAATGCATGTTGATGATGATCGTTTGCATGGTACGAACTGGCAGTATTACAAATAAACTTCTGGGAGAATATTCCAGTCATTGGCGTCAAACCGCTCTTGCTTTCGTCAAATCCAGCCCTTAGCTGTAAGAACTAGTTATATTATATTAATTATATTAGGATTATTTTTGTTTTGAAACAAATGCTCCAATTTCCGTCACCAATGCTTTTTGTTTTAATTAATTGACTTTCCCTGAGCACTTTTTCTGTTAATTTCCTTTTTAATTTATCAAAAACATAGTTGCATAATGTAAATTACTGACAACTTGATAGTTTGATTGAAATGCTGCAAGAATATATACAATGAAGGAAAAACCATTTCATTTAGCTATGACAAAAAATTTTACGAATTAAGATGCATTTCAAAGTTTACTTTAACTCGCCATATTTAATCTAAAACTCTTGTGTTAAGAATTACATAAAACGTGGAACTATAAAGCGCACCTGGTCAACAAGACATGCAGTGAATATAACCCAGGCATGGCCAGCACCAGGTAAGTCCCTAACAGCTTCCTGTCCCAGCACCACATCAACAATAATTTCACCAAGTTTCTCCCAGTAATTCCCTGTGAAACCATATGGTCGAAGCTTACCATGTATTTTACCTGCAAGCAGGATAGGTTGAAATTGCTAAATAAATAATAAAATATATTGGAAAAGTGCTTTCTTCAAACTATTTGACAAATATTTCAGATTAAACTTCTATTCGATTGATTCCAAACCATTTTTTTTAACTTGCATTACTCGTTTAATTACTCTGATAACAATTAAGCCCAATGCTTTAGTTTCTGCAACTTAGCAGACTAACACTCGTAATTTTAATCTCTGTTTATTAATTTCTGCCCTTTCTAATATCTCTAATAACTTTATAAATCATTATTTTTCTATGAAACAATAATCAATAGAATGCTGAAATTACCGAGTAAGAAAGGATCGTAATCACTTCCTGTGTCATTCCTTTTTTCGTCGCTTACTTCAAGATTTTTAATCCCATAATCGATCAACTTCACTGTCTCCTAAAATCGCTTTTCTCCAATACAATATCTTCGAAAGAGAGAGAAAGAGAAAAAAGCACGACTACAAAAAATTCATTGCTATTTCTGCCATTTTTAGCAGAAATGATGGATATTTGATTTTACATAAATTCAGCATTTTTTTACCTTCGCATGATCTCTTGGTGTGGCCGTTTCGCTGTGTGACATTGCGGACAAAAAGGTCCGTGTTGTAAACATTTCCCAAATTCCAGGTAACTGCCTTAGAAGACGCTCATACACCTAAACCAAGACATGGTTTGTTTCTTTACTCAAAGATATACTTTAAGCTTAATTAAAATTTAAATACGATCAAATTTATTAAGAAGGAAGAGAGAAGGATTATATAAGAGAGTGAAAGAAGAAAGGAGTAAACGAAGATCTGAACGTGGAATGGAGTTGTTAGAAGTTTTCTAAACTTTTTTAATATTCCACCAAAAATTATAATTGTGCTTGAACATAGTAAAATTGCAATTAGCCAAGCACTAAGATTTTGTAATTAATCATTGAAAGAATACTGATCTTAATACTAAAAGTAGAATCCATTTGTAGATGGGAAGCATGTATGACATCATCTACAATTTCATATTATCTTAATTCTTCATTTTTACTTTGCTTTCCTAGATTCTAAATTGGTTCGATTATTATTGAATCATTGAAAAATTTAGATTAAAATGAGAATAACATATGGTATGAATAACCTCTTCGAAAACATTTTCGACTCGTTTTCCACCATTCTTAGTTTGTAAACGATGCCATGTGAAGCGAAGAAATCGTTTTTGGAGTCGGTTCAATCTTGAGTCATAATCATAATGTTTTAAAACCGGTCCTGCAAGATAGCTATGCAAAAATTACGGAAATAAACGAAAGCCCTAATAAGTAAAATTTGGAAGCTAAAAAATCAGTTCCTGCTTCTAAAAGTCACTTACCGATAACAGGAGCAGATACACTTGGCATGCTAGATGACCGACGTAAATGAGAAGGCATTGTAAGATCGCTTAAATCTAAATCCGTTTCGACTCCATCTGGTAATGAGGAATCTCTCTTCTGCCTAATAGCCTTTCTGAAAGTGCATGGTCGCAGGAACGAAATAAATTTAATGAACAATCTATTTTTGCTTCCATTAATTTACTAGCGTTACATAATCCCGAATATGGATAGGGAAGCAACAATCGGATTTCCTAACATAATATCCTGAAATGCAGTACATATGCAAATTCAATTAGCTTTTTGCTATTTTCATGTTGCGCTGCTTATAGCTAGAAAACTGTCGTATAGTTCTGCATGTGTAATACCATCAGTGAAATATTTCATAATTCTAATTGAGATGTGTAAAATATTACTTCTGAGAATATGTTCTAGGTGAAATTCTGGTAGTATAATAATATTCTCATAATGCGAATGAAAATGTCATCGATCAATGGACATAACTTGGAAACGCATTGAAATTTTATCTGATTTCATGTTACATAGTCTAACTAGAAGTGAAATGAAAATTTCACTTAGCATAAAAATGATATGAAACTCAAATCGGTGATCTCTACAAAAGCAAGAGAAGGGCAAATTGTTCTAATTTCTTAGGGATTTTGAAAAATACATTAACAGACTGAGGTCACTTTGACCTTTCCATAATATTAAAATCTAAATGCAAAGGGATCAGTGGTTGCGAGCTTTACATAAATAACAAAAAGTTTTCTGGCAGTGATAGATAAAAAAAATTAAGCGGAAATTTATTATTCCAATTACTAGGACAGGAGAGCATTAATAGATGTAAACAATGAAACTATAATTTGTTTACATTGAGAGCACTTCCTCTGTGCTTATCAATTTCGTCAGTATTGATGAAAGTTCGAAGACTGTGGTTGATAATCGATGTAAATTGTTACATTATTGTTTACAGAAACCGAAACTCATTACTTTATGAGCAATTAACAATTGTGTTGACAAGCTAATTTGAATACATTCTGTAATATTCACAATATTTAGGACATTAGAGATGACATTTTCGACAATGCGTTCAATTTAAACAATCGCTACCCCTCCGCTTCAAACTATTTGGGCATTCTGAGAAACTTTCTAAAAGAAAATTCGATTTAAAAGTAATGATTTTATTTACCTTTGTGAGCCATATTGGCAGGAAAAAAAAGTTTATATTGTTTTTGTTGTGACGAATTTCGATACTAAAGACTTTTTAAAATAACATAACAATCAAATGGGTTAATTGATTAATTGGGATGGTCCTGAAGAAATGTTCAATTTATTGAAAGTGATGAATGACCATTACCTTGACAGGCACATGTCTTATTTTCGTCCCGGAGTATATTGTAATAAAGAATTAAGATAAAGAAACCATGTTCTATACCAAGAAATCTTTTCAAATATTTAAATCGATGAGCAGGTTTAAAATTAAATTTTCAGTTGAGGTTTAAAAGTTCGGACTCTCTAATCTAAGATAATGGTATTTAGCAGCAATAAGCAAAATTCATTTAGTGCTATTCAGAATTCTAAAGATGATTCAAACTTGACCTCAATGTCCGTCATCAGTCAATTAATACCATTTGCCATCTACTCAGCCAATTTAACTTTAGGAGATAAATAAAAAATGACAACTTAGTAGAAGATAAGAAAAGTTGTTTAAATTAGAACTATTCCAGCTGAGCCAAGCCAAACTATTTAAGGGTTTAAAAAAAAGAAAGATGGTAATAGTACGAAGAAGGATGTAAACGAGGAGGATTTATAATGGTAATATGAATCACTGACAAGCACTGAATTGATTACTATGAACTGAAATGCCGTTTGACTAGCATAAATTGGCTTTAAAAGTAGCTGTACATGTCCGGAAAGCCTAGACTAGATCTTGGCTTTGATTACAACAGAGTTATCAGCTGCAACAACCTTATTTTCTTCGTTAACTAGGCCCGTTTCAATCGCTGTTTCCTGTCTAATAGATAATGACTTGCAGTTTTCAACATCGTGAAACACATTATTATGCGTCAAAATCGTTGATCCCATCTTTCAAATGGCATTTAATAAAAGGAAAGAGAAAGTTTATCTTAAAAGGTAAAATGCTTTCATAAATTTTTTACTTTCTTATTAAAAACTTATTACTTCCATATATATATATATATATATATATATATAAATGTTCAGATTACTATCCTAATCAATGAAAACCTAAGTGGAAATGTTCCAATTCAATACCTGACTCTTTGGGAAAAATCGATTAAATCAGGTGCGAAATTTTTAAATTTTAAAATCCAGAAAGTATTTAAGTTATGCTGAACAATCATGCACACTTACTGTAAGCAACTTCATATGTCAAAATTGGAATGGTAAAATTTCTTCCTATTCAATCACCGTATCACCCTGAGCATTAAAGCATTAGTTTTTACTGAATTAATTTTTTCAGTTTAGTAAAAACTAATGTTTTAGTGTTCAGAATGACACGTAAATGGTCAGGCTGACAAAGTAAAGCTAGATTAATTTCATCTCTTTTCATAGTTTTTAGCATGAATAATCATTGACGAAAGTACAACTGCTATTATCGTTAATTAATTCGTAAATATGCTGGAAAAAATAGATTATATTCTAGTAATCGCAATACACTTTCTTACTGACATTTTGATATTTCACCATCGTGCATAAATTTTTAGGAATATGGTAATTAGCAGGTAATGAATGTTTAGAAAACAGTCCCTTAAAAAAGAAAATACGTAGTAATTCGAAAATATTACATTAATTTGACCTTACTCTGTCAATGTAAGTATTTGTAGAACACCTTGTAAAATCAATCTTCCTTTGGGTTATTGGATAGCACTAATACCAAATGTTTTTCAGCATATTCATGTCGGAAAGTTTTTTTTTCTTTTATGAATTCAATTTACAATAATAATTAATATCCAACCATTTATAATTGAGAAATGAAGAAAGTACCAAGTATATTAGCTTATGTAAGCTAAGCCTTACGCAATTTACTAATCCATATGGTTTGGTTATAGCTTTTATCCAAAGGCTACAGCAGATATTTTTATGAAGTATGCATTTAATATATAGTGGCAAACAGCACCAATACTAGAAGTGAAGAGATTTATTTTAAAAAATTAAGATGACTTATCGAGATGATTAAAATTCATTAATTATATCTGCTTCTCGGGAAAGATGAATTGAATTTCACCTAAAATTTATGTATACTTGATTATTTTTTCCAGCATTTGCTTTTGTTTGATTCTTCCAAGTAAAAAGGGTAAGTCAGAAAATTGTATGAAATGGAAATATGTAAGAATAGTTATTTGAAGGCACTTATTGCTATTTTTCTTTTGTAAAGGTTTTTTTTTCCTGGACAAGAACTGTCCACAACGGGTCAATGTCATTTCAACAGACCCACAAAGACACATTTTAGCGACATGTGCGTGAACTAAGTGGATGCAACGTCAAATCCTTTCTGAGTTTAACGAATTAAAATTAATTGACAAAAGAAAGGAAATATTGTTTTGTTGAGTGAAATGAAAATGAGATGAGGGTAAGATTGACCAACCGATTGGCTACTGTATTCAGTTACACTTACGCATATGCATCTACAAAAATCTAAATTGATATGAACATATTCTTACGTCTTCCTAAATGATTTGCATGGAGTTCCTGCTTGGATGGCTGTTCTGACTTATTTAATAAAATTTAAGTGATCGACTATCGGCGCACCTCCAAATTTCTACTCTTACAAATTGCAAATCACTGAAGCATTGTGTCAAAAAAATCTTAACATTAAAAAGAATAGCTTTAATTTTGTTGCTGGAATTTCCCCGGTATTTATTGTGTCGTAAAGTGGAAATCACTTTATACTTCCTTTGTTTCCAAGCAGCGGCTGAAGTTAAAAGATGGTTGAATTTCATTTCCAAATTTGTTCGTTTTCCAGTATATTTCGGAATAGGAACATCGTTGACACTGTATTTTGAGACTTGATAATATGATATTGAACAGGAAACTTTGAGAAATTTTCGGCATTGGATATGCAAAATTTCGAGTCACATGTTGCTGCCACTATGATATGCGACAAACTGTGCAGTGTAAATTTTACCATTTATCACCACTAAACACATTTGTCAAGTTACATCCGTTGAAACAGGGACAAGCACTAAATGTTAAACATTTGTTTCTATAAAGTTTTTTAAAATCTACCTTCTACATTGACCATGATAATCTAATTAATTTTCAATTCTACAGCAATAAATAGATTTTAATCTTGTAGAGCATTAGCGCCTTGAAATTAAAGTAGGTTAGCATTCAGATTAAAATAGGTTTCGTGTTATCTGGAATGTACAAATCTGCTTCAAATTATCTCGGACCGATGGCAGATGACACTCTGATTAAAATCTTTGCTACTCATCAACTAAGTTAAGCTATAAATCTAGTTAATTTCTTCAAATCCTCCATATTCTTATTGTTAGCTTCTGGGAGCGATATTTTTAATTAAGAAGATTGAGAGGATTAGCAATAACTTCACTACTATGATAATAACGATCCGGAATGCATAATCAAACATGCGCTATGCGGCAATATTATTAATTCGTATGCCAAGGAAATCTTTTTTTCTTCAGTTAATTGCTAGTTTATGCATCAATGATTGATTAATCAAATATTACATTTCCATCTGCGCATTTTTTTCTCTTCCGTATTCAATATTTCTTATTACTCTTTTCATTCTGAATATGTTTGTTATTTTAATTCTGTTATCTTCTTTTCAAAAATTCGAATTCATAAACATATAAAGGAGAAATGCAACCATCTTTGCATTTCAAATTAGTCTTCAGACCTCAAAATAAAGGAGAAATGTAACCACCTTTGCATTTTAAATTAGTCTTCAGACCTCAAAATTGGGCTGTCAAGCAAAAGGACAATTCTGTGCTAGATTGCAATGAAGATGAAATATCAAACAGAAATGAATTAATTACTTGTGAAGCATTCGTATTTATTTAGGGTGGACACATCGAGTACACTAACAACTTTTTTAATCTGTCTGTAAGAATAATAATATCCATGCTTAGGGCAATGTGATATTATGTGGTCCATCTTTGTCCTTTAATAGTATCAGTTAAGCTACATATGCTTTAAATATGACTATAATAATCAATAATTATGTGATTACACTTATGTTAGATGCATGTACCAAAGATTCCTGGCGACACAATAACTTTGCATGATGGCGACAGAAACTGAAAGAATCTTCTAAGTGTAAGTTAAGGAGAGTTGTTGATTGTAGCTATTAAAATCGTGCGTTCCTCAGTGATTCAAATTTGACAAATTGAATTGGAATTGAAGAAGGAATTTCGGCATCTTCAAAAATGAGCCAGGTTCACATAATCGAAAATGTAAGTGCACCTTATTTTTCAATATTGAAAACTTTCTAGGTATTAAATGAAGCAAAAAATGTTTCATGCAATGTTTCATTTTCCTAAATGTAGAAAGGATAACATGATAGTTAGGTGATTAGATCTAAGCAAATTATTGGAATGGGATTCGGAATTTGAGTTGAAAGGATAATTAAAATAAAAAAAATAGCTGTGATGAAATGACATCCAGAAAGCATCCCTTACTTTGACTAAGTTGACCACAGTAACTGTATTCATAGTATCATTCTTTTTATCTTGGGTGCAAAAAAAAGCTTAGATAATATTAAAAAGCAAAGATTGAAAAGACAAGCCTGGCAGGTAATTGTCTGGCCATGAATATTTAAAATGACAGAACATTCGGCTGTTTAAGAAGACTGTCGTCAGTCCTTGCAAAGGTAATAATTTTTGTTAAGTTACGAATGCGAGTAATTCATCACTTAATACTTCTTTTAATATAATATCTTTTGTTTAGTGAAAGTACTATGGGTTGAATGTTTCATTACCTCAAGAATGACTGAAATGCAAAATATGAAAATAAAAATGAGACCTGCGAGATGATGGCGAAGCTGTTGCATATGTTGTATTAACATTAGATGGTCCCGCTTTAGACTGAAAATTGATTTGATTTGAAACTGATTTTATTTGAACTCTTCTAGTTCAAATTTTGTTTCAAATTTTAGATTCCGTTACGAACTGATTCGCAAAAAAATCTTTTTTTAATTTTAAAACATCGCCATAATATTGTATTTAATGGATTGCATACCTGGGATGTCTCGCCCACGGATTTTTCCACCCGGGTTGCTAGTACATTTTGTCGAAGAACCGCGGTTGAGGCTTCTGTTACAGCTGCTTCCTGTGCCGCTTTTTTTTCAGTCTCAGCTTCAAGTTCTTGCAACAACCTCCTGCCGCGTACTATTTTTGATATCAAAAACATCTGAAATAATAATTGCTCTAACACCACTATTATGAAAAGGCTGCGAATATCAACATCAAGCGATATAAAGAGTTTTAGATATAATTTGAGAAAAAAAGAAATAAACTGAGATGGATCAGGTCAGTAAGATTGTTCGCACTTATGAAGATGAGTTATGTTTATTTAAACTAAAACCAAAATGAACATCAAAATTATGATATTAGTATGTTTGATAAAAAGGTCACAAATGATATATGCACTTGTCCCATTTGGTAATGTATAAGAAGGTTATTTGCTCTTTCTCATCCTTTTATTAGAATAAATCGTCCTTTTTACAAATTCAACTCAAGAGAAGCTGTGAATTCCAAGCATAATTCGTTTAAGATTTTTCTGAAAAGAACTTTTATTTTTTCCTGGAGTAAAAACTTCCAGCTCTCAAAAAATTGTGCAAATTCTACTCAATATTTCTTTGCAAACCAAAAGAGAGATTTAAATTAAGACTTAAAATTTTTCTAAACGATAAATTCAGCTTTAAATGTTAATAATTTGACGAAACGCTATGTATAAAACGATTCTGATTTCTCTGGCTTGTGCCTGTGCGGCCATGAACTGTAACAAAAGTTAACTCAGAATTTTAGTTTTAATTTTGTGGCATGGAAAGCTGCATTAAGAATACTTGTGGACGTCGTTTGACGTTTTTTCGAACCTCATTATTCCTCATATCGCTAAATACACTTACTTATAAAGTGAACATATCCGATTCATGGATTTCTGAAGGAGATACCTGATATCTGATTTCATTGGCTATTTCTATGTTGATATTCGTGTCGTGAAAACAATGACCGAGGATAGAAAGAGTTGTAAGAGATGGGACATGTTTCTTAGTACTCTAAACAGCTTCAGTTTTTAGTCAAAAATTGGGCTGTCTAGCAAGAAGTTAAGACGATGATGGCCTGCTCAGTTAAGAGGACAGTATTCAGATTATGGACAATGTGCTCTACTGTATACAAATTTTAATCAGTATAGTGTATCCTGAAACATATAGCAGTACCGAAATTGACAAAAATTTCAAAATAAAACTTCGTCAATAAATTTTTCAACAAAAAATATACAAATTATTCAGATATTTCTTAATTAATTACTAAGCTAAAAAAATGCTGCTTGGAAAAAGAGTTTGTCGGATAACTTTGAACATTCAACTGAAGAATAAAATCTGAACAGGAGAAACAGCTGTTGGATAGTTTTGAATATTCTACTGGGAAAATGAAGCCTGAATAGGAGAAACACCTGTCGGAATATTTTCAATGCATTCTATTAAAGTCTAAAAAAAAAAAGACCTGATCGCTTGAATTCATCCCTTTAAGAATAAATGAACCATTTATATTAAATTTTTATTGTTTGAACGGAAATTGATAATTTCAGGTGCAAATGTTATTAGATAAAAAATGAGTCGCATTACCTGGGAATGATATCCAGGGGAAACAAAAAATTTCCCCACTTCTTTTAACTACTTTATTTGCTCTGATCCATAAGTTATATTCATTAAGAATAAGATTTCTAAGGTAGCTAACTTGTGGTTAAGTATCAAATATAGGGTATATATATATATATATATATATATATATATATATATATGTGTGT